GGGTAACATGTTTGGAAAACTATATGTATTGACAAATTCCAATTACATGCGAGAAAGAGGTCTCCCCTTGTGGATGATCATGATCATTCACCGTGCGAAGAAACATATAAGAGATCGATGAGTTGGTTTCAGAGCAGAGCGTCCCACTAACGTTAATGGTGTGCACCCACTTTGCTGATTCTGTTTGACCTGGCACTGTCCGAAGTGTTCCAGTTGAAATGTGGGTTGGTGTAAAGTTATGTATGCTAGTAGGTGTGCTTGTATCAGGTGACACCAAATGTACATGTACGTAGTGTGCAGGTGCATTGAATGCTGCCAATTGCAGGGCGGTCTTAGCAGGACGGAATGCCATCGTCCACTTGAAACTTATAATACTCTGTGCCTGCGTTTAACCCTCACCTGCATGCAACACGATAGTAAAATGTATTCACGACTCGCAGGGAGTGAGTCGTATTCTGCTGCATAGTCAAATGGGTTCGTCACACGCAAAATTACTCCCAGCAAAATTTAATGTAGGTAGGAAATTAATGATGGAGTTACATGTACAATGTAGGTATAGTATCGTCCAGACCCTACTGTACAATATACATGTACATGGACCTTGGTGACTATGTGCACACAAACAGGACATGTATCCACGAACAGGAGTGCAGCCTACAGGCGTATGTGCCAGGTCATCCACGAGATGGAATGGCACTCGGGGACACAACTCATCACCCACCGTCACTTTTCAAGGACACACTATCGCCATTGTATCACTCACAGGGTTTCTGAAAATGAGGAGAAAAAAATGAGCTAATAACTACATGTGCATTGTACTCAAGTAGTATGTCGTTTTACGTCTCATCTGTCAGTGACAGTGTCCTCACGAGCGAGTACTGTATTTAACCACGCGACGAGATGACTTGTGGAGATGGGAGTTGGCCTGGCCCCCGCGTCTGGTCTGAATGCAGAGTATAACTGTGCGTGGTAGTGTGGGCCTGATTCACTATGTCACTGTTTAGAATGGTGCTGGCAAAATGGCACGATGTGGTCTGGGCGGAGAGCATTTCGTTTTCAAGAGATCTACCGTAACATTTCCATGTTCCCAAAACGTTATACATGTATACGCGGACTGTTGACCCCAGTCATACACTTGCATGCATGGCGTGGCTGGCAGATAGGACTGACTGTTTGCACATGTAACTGACTCAGACTTACTCGGTTTCTGTGAGTAGAGTTGATTTCTGCAAGAAATTACTGGAACATTGCAGAGTAAAATCTCGTTCGGCAGCTTCACCCTGGCACCTAACACATATAAATGAAAATAATAACATTGATGGACCTGTAAAATTTGTTGTGACCTTCAGCTGGACTGAGCGCAGTGGAGTTGCTTGTGGTCAGGCGGTCGGATCTGCAAGTTTCTGGATCCAGGGGACAGCGGGGACTTTCAAATATGCGCCCCATTCTCCAAGCTTCGGAGCCGCCATGACACTAATGACCTTCCAGGTGGAAATTGCTCTTGCTTCTGCCACGGGGGAAGGCGGTCTTCACTTCTGTCCGATCCATCTCCAGACACCGACGGGTATATCAAAACCACCACACAGATGCTGCGCGACACTAATTCAATTGTGTCTAGGACCAGTTCTACCTGATTTCATTTTGTTATAAATCTGGTCAGCCTAGCTCTTCACCCCTTATTATTCAATGCAGCAGCTGTGCACGGTATAACCCTATGCAACCCTGGACAGAGTCAGTACATGACTTTGAGCAATTCTACTTGTACTTGTAGACGTATATTTACACGTAACAGCTAGCATTCATCTAATATACAGACATGTACATGTGCGGATCATTATTCTACAATGTACAGTAGTAGGCAAAGCTGACGAAAGTAGTCACTAGGGACACCGCTCCGGATTACATCAAAGTGCCAGGCTAGCGTTTGTACATGTACACCGCAGCTTCGCAGGAAGTTTTATTATATTCTTCGATGTGATCGTAAATGACTGGGGAGATTCCAGGGTTGAAGAATAAAAACCTAACCTGAGCAGTAGCATGTAGGTACATGACACACGTGCATTAGCGATGTTTACGACAAGTTCCAGAAGGATTTTAATCATTATTTTATAGAAAAGAAAAAGGACCAAGGAATTTACAAGTTACGCTATAATGTCCACTAACACCACCAGTTACTAAACAACCAGCTAATGCGGTACGCCGGTAACACTGCACGACACTGACCGACGGTACTGACGTTCTACAACTAACTGGCTAACAGCTCTAGCATATTCTGGATGCGCACTCCAACAGCCTTCCAACTTGGAAGGTTCTGAGTTATAATAATAACATAAGAGGGGAAGGTGAGCGCAACCAAGACAAGCACGAGCTGAAAGTCTCAGCTGTGAAGGACTTTGGCGGATGTTCATGCATGTCCATGACGATACTGGCAAGACCATTGGACAATACCGTCAATCCACAATGTTGCAATGTTATCGCATGAGCTGATTGTTTAGTAACTGGTGGTGTTAGTGGACACTATAGCGTAACTTGTAGTTTCTTGGTCGTTTTTCTTTTCTATAAATTTATCCTTGGCTCTCCATCAAGGTCCAATCATTATTTTGTTCACAATACTTTGATCATGCAGACTTGATAGTGCAATACTAGTAGCCTCCTGCACACTTTCCTCATCAACGATTCGCCTGTAAATGTGTACAGTGTTTATGCGGGAACATGTGACCAGGGAGTGAGTCTGCGTACCCCCTCTAATCGACAAGTAGTGAGCAAGCATTAAACACACTATGTAGTTGGCTTCCGAATCCTACCAAGACGAGCAGAGGCGCCTGTAATCTGGACGAGCCTTTTTTTGCGTGTTTGTGTTTGCGTGCCCTGAACTTCATATCTCAAACTTAATCCGGTGTAGAACATGTCCCTTGTCTATGGTATTAGCACCAGCCATTGTTGGCAGTCTTGAGTTCATAGCAAACCACGAGCTATCCTACAAACATCGTCTACCTTGGGAAGCGGAACTGTATCTTCCTGTGTACAATTGTATTCAGTAGTAATGAAAAATGAAAACATAATGAAATTATAGATCATCACGTAAGTGTACATGTATGGTCCACTTGTGGGTGCATTTTGATGCTTCTTCTTCTTTTTCCGAGACGTATTGTAGGTAGACTGACAATGTCAGGGAGAGAATTGATCGGGAAGAGATGGTATGAATACTGTGATGTCTTCATCGTCATCTACAAAGTTAGCTGCTGTTGAGTTTAGTCAAATGTCGCTTTAACCCAGCAAAGTGAAATCAATTGATGCTGGTGAGCCAGGACTGTCCGCAGTACTATCGGTCTTGATCAAGATGATCAGCCAATTCACTACACCCGGAGGCTTCTCGCTCTTATCGAGAGCAGCAAGGCGACGAAGATGACTCACTCACTCAGTCAGTGTTACTGCTACCATGATCAACTACATCGTATTATCGTAACAATGGATCCTTTAGTCCCAATTCTCGGTGAAACCAGAGAGACTCTGCTAGTTTAGTGTAGTGTCTGCGAGTGTGAGGCATGGCGCTTACGGTATCCACGCGCATTCAATCATGAGAAGGTAGCACCACGTACAATCATTATGTGCGTTCACTTCCTCGTCCATTGCATTTGCGCCAAATCGTCCAGAGCGCAGGCCCAATTCAATTTTATTTTAAATCAGAATAATTAGAATACCTTGATGCTGTCGCCACAATATCATGCATCGTGATCTCTGTTGCTACGCACGATATTTCACTAGCTGCTGCTTATAGTGTTATGCCTCAGCTTTGTGAGTTGTCCGAGATCCAGTCGGCAGTAGCGGATAAGCGGCACTTATCCTTGACGGTGGCCATCGTGAACCACAAATAATTATACCCTGCCACAGATCATTACAATCACCCAAGTGAGCACTCTTCCTCATCTTCATCATCTTCATCATCATCATCAGCATCCACATTCCCATCATGAAAAGAAAGACACACCAACGTGCACAGCACATCGAACTCGTAGTTACTAGGAACTACACATTATACAAGTCATTGTACATACTGTAGTAGGAGCTTGGCTTTAACCACAGGTGGCGAGTACACAGGGGTTAGTTCGAGACACGTTCCGAATCTTTGCGCGACGGAAGTTTGAGCGAGGCAGTGGACAACACACGAATGTTCGCATACGAACCCTGTAGTTTGCATGATTAGCCCAAACAAACGGAACTTCACGTGGGAGAAATAGATTCATTACGAATGTCGCGACCACCACCACCACCACCACCACCAATCCATCATTGCCACCCCACATCGCTTCTGAGTTTCCCTTCTACACAAACGACCACCTAGGTCGAGTGTTGGCCCTGCAAGGTGACCAAAGCAGCTTTCAATTGTGCAATACCGAAAACCCAAGACGATCACATTATCTTGCACAGTCTACTATCTAGTAGACTATTGCCAGTGTTGGTGTGGTGGTGGTGGTGGTGATCTACTTTGCCAGTGCATGCGCATGAAGCCTGTGTGGAACTACACTCAGGGCATGCAGAGTATTATGCACTGTAGCTACTTGATGCATTGACGGTGGTCTGCAGTCTGAAATCTAGCTTAATCCTTGACCTGGGTCTGGATAGCAGGCGCAGTCTCACCCTTCCACGAGTCGCTCATACAAACGATAATACAGTGTCTACTGGCTGCATCAGGGCAGTACCGATGTACAGTCAGTACTAGTAATAGTATTGGTGCGATGAGTTGTGTGGAGTGGTCAGCAGGACTCCGGGCCTGCTTCCGAGCGCTCAGTGCCTGCTCTAGCATAGCCTGCAGCCTGCCGAGTCCTTCGCTCCCTTATTGCCAATTATGGTCTTGGCGCACTAAGTGCGATTCACTTCGAGCGAAGTTGGCCTGCCTTCCGCAGCGAAGCCCCTTCGAGTGGCTAGCGCATTGGAGCTGACAGCGGTACCTAAGCACAGAGAGGCCAGCCGGGGGTATAAAGGTGACAATAGTCACGACTTGAAGGCTCAGATCTCGGCTAGCTGCCACCACGAGCACATCTAAACAAGATTGCTCTGCGATCCAGGACACAACGTGTAGTTTGGCAATAGCAGTTGATAGTTGTACCTTCTGTATTATACTTCACTTCGTTCACCTTCTTCTTCATTCTTACCACAAACAGAGTAGCGAAAATGACTTCTTCCAAATGTGAACAGATGCCCCTAGTTCGTCACGTCACCCCAGCGCCTGGACTGGTTCCGGGGTTGAACTACCCAAGATGCAGACGCGCCCGCTGCCGTGCACCGCAGGGATTGTCTCGTGCGCAAATGCGCAATTGGCGGCGTCAACGTGCCAGCGCCCGAGAGCTCGTACGCATCCATGAGTTGCGGCTGGGTTTTGACATTCTGGCCACTGTGGTACCCAAGAAGGAGAATGAAAAGTTGTCCAAGGTTCAGGTACTGCGTTACGCTATGGAGTACATTGAGCAGTTAGCTGAAATGAACAAGTTGCCTGCTGCCGACCCATCGAACGCCACGGAAGTTGCCGATTCCAATGTAGGTGATGTGTGGAGTCAACAGTGGCAGCAGTATCAGGCAGCAAGCAGTGATTCTGATGACTCGGATGCTCATTACATGTCCTTGTCGGCTGCCAGTCCATCCTCCACCGTTTCCCTCTCATCCTACTCCAGCAGTAGCAGCGGCAGTGCAGGCTCCGGCAGCTCTCGCATTGGCAGCCCCCTGAGCAACATTAGCAGCAGTGCATCACAGTCAGCTCAGGAGATGTTCTCTTCACCACCACCGCCATGTGCTGTTGCAGCTGACCAATGGTCTGTGCCATCCCAGACGGCAACACCATCACACAACCTAGCTGTCAGTGCTCAGAGTTTCATGCACCCGCAGCAGCAGCAACAGCAGCCGCAGCATTTCTTTTCGGATGTGGCACCATTGAATGACGGCGGCATGTCGTCAACATGGGGATCATCTTCAGTGGAAGCAGGCATGAACACACGTGCAGTCCCCAGCACGCTCAGCTCAAGCAGCAGCTGCAGACAGGACAGCATGGCGAACTTGACATCATTGGTAAGTGGCTGGACACACATTATTAGCGTATCATTATGCACACCACAAGTTGAAAGACCGCAGCACAGGACCCCTGCCTGCGTCCCCAACCCGCACCACATCCATCGATTAGTGACATGGCAATGTTCACCATCATACATGCATCGTACACAGTGCTTGCGACCATTGACAATAAACACCCTTGTGTGCGTGAGCAGAGTTGCAAGGCATTCTTTGTGCGAAGTGTCCTGGGGCTGAAGAGCTGTAAGCGATTGCAGCCGCAGAATATCTAGCAGTCGTTTGTGCAGTGTGTCTAGTTGCATTGTTACTATAATCTCGGGAACACTTGCAGACTACGCAAAAACTACGTGTCTACACTGTGATCGTGACACGTTCCGGTTTGGATTTGTACAGTGTGTAGTGCTGGTGTGTCGATAGTAGCTCACTTTGGTGGTTGCCTAACCGTCTCTTCGTGTCCATTTTATTCTCGTTTTTCAGACACATAACGTTTCACTGGACAGGCTGCTGCTGGAGGCTTCCTTCCTTGCAAACGACACCGGGCTGGGGGAGCAGTCGTGCAACAACTCTGCTGTGCATGGATCATACATTCCTATGGCCAACGGCTTCACTAACATGACACCCTATAACTCTTCATCAGTGGCTGGTTTCGACACCTCGTTCCCCGGAGCCAATGATATGCAGTTTAACCAGTTCCTCCCATGTCTGGCCTAGGCCGGAGAGCAGATCACCTGCCACCACCACCACGAAGCTCAATGGCACCAAGCTTGCAAGGCCACGAGAAACTAACTCTGTAAATCGTTTCTCTCTTCACTACTATTCACCGTCCATGCCTTGGTCCTTAGCTGGCTCTACTGGAGGATCAGCACAGGAAAATCACAGGAAGTGTCCATTCCGATGTGAGCCTAATTGAAAACAGTCTATTTATAGCATCCCTAAGTCAAATTTCTTCAAGCAATGTCTCCTACAAACCATGTTATATTTATACAATCGCCATACACTAAACTGAAGCACATACATGTAGGTAAGTGTGCGATCGTGCATTCTAGGTCTCCATTGTAAACTGTTCCGTAATTTCTCTGTTCTGATTGTGTAATCTTCCGTAAGCTAATGAACAATTTGTAATAACTATAAACTGTAAGGACGTATCGAAGTAGAAAGTTAATCTTTAATGTTGCATGTGATTACGCAAGACATTGTGCTAATAGTTGTAAGTGATAAAGTAATTGCGATTTTTTTATAACGAATATCATGTGTTGCTGCCATTTTACCGTAAGCGCTAAACTAAACTCATAGGTGTTTTCCTGCATTCCATTGCGGCAGAGTTCTGCCATCTTTAGACATGCAATTATCGATAAGTAACATTTTTCGTATCTACATATACAAGTGCTGTAATTCGTTCAATCCAGCAGAATACGGCTGATCATTTCTCATAGTAATTTTAAAATGCTTGCGCCTGTACTCTCCTGCTAAGCCTAAGCAATCCGACAGATAATTATCCCATGATCTAACACATTCGATTCATCTAAATTTTGTCCAGCAATATCGGCAAGACCGTTGAAAATACATTACAGAACTATTGGACAAGCTCTGGTGTCATGTGTGCTAACATAGACCGAAGGGCGACTGTCGCCTTTTCGTAGCCCTGCCAGTGGGTATTTTTGAAGGAATCAAGCATGTATATAAACTCTGCTGTGGTCACTAATAGCTTGTAACCATCAAGTGCACGTTGTCTTCGGTATTCTGGCATCCTGACACACGACACAGTTTCTATTTCTTGACTTAGCCCAAGCTGGTTTGCCCATCTGCGTCTGTGTCGCATCACCAGTACTGGTAGGGATGGCGCCTTGAGTAAGACGAGCTGTACGTAACTCCGCCTCATGTTCCTGTTCATCTTACATGCTAGTCCGGGGGAGCTCATGACTGTTACCTTTTAGATCACGATCTTGCGTAAAACTGCATAGTTCCTTGACGTACTGTTTACAAGCTCAGGCGTAATGACGTGTTCGTGTGCGGCCTGTATCGTGGATGGACTAAAAGAGAGCTGCAGACTGCACGATCATGTGCCGGCAGTGTATCTCTGGACCTACACGAGCATGAGCCAGTATGATAGTGAGGATATGCAATGTCACATTTCAAGTTTAACCACCGCAACTGAGTCAATTGCATAATCACATCTGTAGATGTGTCCATGTCTATGCTGTGAGGCAGGCCGTGGTCATTGTACATCCTTTAAGGTTTCTAACTGCCCCCCAGTTGTTCGCTACAGTGTGCTTTACTGGGACATGACAATGTCACGTGACAATGTCACCTAGGCAGTGCGACAATAGCATCACACCGTACTACCACAACCTCAGACTCAATTCTCTCAACCTTTGACTGCTAATATCTCAATCCCCTTAGAGTGTGTCTCGACTATGCAGTGTTTACCCGTCATCTTCCTTGTTTCATTCGCTCACCAGCATCACCAGAGGCTGCAAAGTGTGCCAATGATCGGAGAATAATGGACTTCAAGCTATAATTATGCAATCACTTAATCCGGTTGTTTGCCACTCCAACGAACACCTAGACACCGTGGTGGGATCAGACTACAGCCTAGGTATTATGCAAAACCACCGTTACGGATACACACACATGCACTTCTATTATCACATTGTACTTGTAGTACCCAAAGTAGACAAATAAAGTGGAAGTATATTGGCAGTCCACGCTGGACACCAAAACGTACGCAGTAAGCCGCTGTGTGTATGGTTGTTCCCTCTATCAGATGTTTATTCTTCTTCCCCTTGACACTGACAGGTTGTAGTTTGTTCATGTTGCATTTCCACCCACGTTAACCGGTAGAGATAGCATGTCATGCCCTCAGTCTCAGCTGTCGAACATAATCAGTGTACACTAAATGGTGAGCAGGTTTGTCGGGTCGGATCACTGAAACACCTAGTAGAACTGCCCGAACAGCAGTTCAACCTACATCATGTGCATGACATCCGACATGAATCCGAAACTCGATGTGTCCGCCCTTGTGCAAGTTGTGGGGACAACCTGGCCGCTATTCAATGCAAGGCGTGCGTTATGCGTGTTGATATTCAGCTGTCAGTGTCATAATGTACATGATTATACATGTAGGCGCAACCAAACAGATCCATACACACTAGTATCTGCAATACATGTCACACAGCAGGTGGAACAGGGATGCTGCCGTCAAAGAGTAACAGTTCTTGACGCCGCTGCTCCCCTCCTTCGGAATTCGCCAGCGGGGCAGGTTATCTAAAAAATGAACCCAAATGAAACGGGACGGACGGACGACAGTAGAATGTTGCAGCAACACGGCTCTTGAAGGTGACAAGACCGTCTGAACTCATGAACTGAAAGCATAATACGACTCCGGGCTATTATTATCCGGCGCCTGACACGTGCAAATCACTGCATCAGTGCATGGCGCGGCGGGGAACTACTTGTCAGAAAGCCTTCGCGTTGGGATTTTCATGCTCAAAGAATCTAGGACTAGGCACAATGTACATGTACATGCATGTATTAAATACGGTGTGTACAGGTTTCGACTAAACGAAGCCTCATGCACTCCTGGTGCTTGTCCTCCGAGGAAACAAAACAAGCCTTTTTTACGCGTTGACAAAACTTGGGACTTGCTGTACTGAACTATTATTTTTAATTTTATCGTAGGACGGTCCTGTGCACTAGTTGCAAGAGTGCATAACACCAGTGGGTTATCATGGTTATGGACCTGTGCTGCTAACGCTAAATTCATGATTGTACGTCATAGGTAACAAGAGACGTTCTCTGAAGTGCCACACCACGTGACGTTGTGAATGTCAACATCAAAATTAATACGGTTGTAGGAAATAGCATTGAGACCTATTCAGCTGGTGCCTTTTCATTTAAAAATGTGTTATTGTAACCACGGCACGAGTACGGCACGAGTACCATTACAATCCACAACCATTGGCAACCTAAACTAGTACAGTAGTCAAGTCCCACATGTAGACTTCGCATGAACAATTATTTCCTGTTTATTTTTCTTTGTCACACAGACCAACGTGTATACAGTACACAGTACAGGTATCTTATACTTGTACAGGTAAACTGGATTATTACATGTACATGTAGTTGTAAGTCAAGCACCAGTGACAGTGTGGGGTGTTGGAGTGGTGGATTCACATAACCCGGATTTCGTCAATACCCAATAACATACAATGTACATGTCCAGTCATTCAGACTACATGTACAATGTAGGTGTGGCGCTGTGATTGAACAGATAAAACTGATAATATCCTTCCAAAATCCTTATCTCATTATACAATGTGTACAATGTGTACATGTGCTTCATATTCATGGGTATGATTATTTCTATAATGAATGACATGCACTCATGACACTTTCAGTTTCCACAGCTAGCCTGCAATGCCCCCTGCATTCATAGAGGTGTACAATCATGTACATGTACACGTATGTCCGGTACATGACTTGTGTTTGATCCTGCATGTGCTTTGATTTCGCTAGGACCCGGTACAGTATACACTAGATACCGATCCACCCTGCACAGGATCTGCAGATCCGGTCAGAATACTTCCGTCTTGCCAATACATGTACTAGTACTCTTTGAGATCATCCAGCTAAATACAGTCATGTACATGTACATGTATGGTGGAGAATTGACTCATAACTTAAGAGCCACTCTCAAAGAAGCACAAGTACTGAGATGGTACTGTAACCATTGTCAACGTTGCTACATGTATGAAGATAGGGAGCATTGCGTCTGTCTGGTGATTCATGACTGACGGCACTGGCTAATTATCTAATAATAAGCATTATTGAGCATCAATGATGGTGACACGAGCCTTTCACTTTCAGACTGAACAGTCCGTCCGTATACACTAGGGCATGACTGTATGATACAGTTGAGCCTTGAGGATCACTGGAGTTGAGTTGAAAGGCAAGTCCTGACAGCTATTGTCAAGTACATGTACTCAGTGCCAGCTAGGGACCTCGGATTTGGATTGTTATTAATATCATTATTTTGCCATTTAGCGTCTTGGACGTACATGTACATGATTGTATAGGAACAGTGTAGTAGGGCACGAGTACCACTGCAAGTGCCATTTACATGTACATGTACGTTTGCACCACGTGACTACTGGACGTAGTGTTCAATGCTCATGTGCATTCTGTACATGATTGAAGTGTGTCATCGATCATCAATATTCAATTCATAATGAATTCAACGTCTCAGCCTGTACATGTATGATTATGATCTAGTGGAACATCATGAAGCCCCACTGGCCCGAGGCTAGTAGCATGCGCACCGGGGGCGGAAAGGAAGAACAAACAAGGGGAGCATAATACTTTAATAGAGGATATACAAGGTTTATTGGTGTCATTACACATCCGTGGGGTATTCTGCGTCTGGCTGAATTATATTATGGTGGGTGCATAATCCCATCAAACATGTAAATGGAATACCCAGGCAGTTCTCCGAATTCATGCAACTACAACAACTAGGTCTAGGGGGTTGAAATGACGAAGGTCATCGCAATGTCAACGAAAACAGGACATTGCAGACCTTGCCCCTGAAACGCGGAAGAGATGCAGTCATTGTAAATGACGTTGCAACTCAAACAGTAGAAGTCATGTACATGTACATGTACATGACAATGTCATGTGGACTTGTAGTTTGCCCAGACACACCATGTTGTACATGGAGAGATTCTACCAGCTCTGTCTAGTGCAGCTAGAGCTCATGACGCATGGACTCAGAAAGCTGCTCGAGTGCAACGCTACTGGGGTGCAATAAATATCGCAAGGAGCGGTCGACCACATAGAATCTAATTTCAGAAACACTGAAAGCAAGTCGGTACATTGTACCCGACTCAGACAACTCCAGAAAGCGGAGAGACACTCCACAGCAGTCAATGACAATATAGGATGATTGTAACGTTATCTTTAAGTTCACCAGTACAATCTTCAACAATGTAAAAATAATACCATCGCCAAATACTTTGAAAACAGGTGCGTGTGGTACCGGCAAGGCCCACCAACACAGCCGCGCCCTGGCATTCGCCACAGTGGGCAGCATTGTCTCAGACTTACTACAGCTGTACCAGGGTTTGTAGACATAGTACATACTGTGCAAACATGTCAGGGAGAGCTCAGTGTGCAGCCTCTGTCTAGGATCACATGACATGACCATTGTACTAGTATCTACAGACAGTGTACATTGTAATAGATGTACATGTACATGTATCCACACAGCCCGTTGTGCAGGCTGTAGATCTACATGACTGATTGTACATGCTTGTACACGTAACGTTACATGCACACGCTGCATTATTATTATTATTATTATTTTTTTGTGATAAACGCCTGATATTGCTAGTACCAGGCGTAGATCTACTACATGTGCATGTACAAGCACACTGCCCATGCATCCAGCACTGGGACTTGGGCCCCTTGGGGAGACACTCGAAATGCACTTTGACCTGCCAGACGGAGTGCATTCGGGGGCTGTCATGACCTTTGCGTAGTAATGTCACGACACCTGCGGCTACTTCAGCCAGAAAAGTAGCCCGTTG